TATTCTAGCCGGCACCTATCGGCAGGCAAGGCTCCTGGCCGAGAGCCCATGGAACTCTCGGCCACTGTAAATAGCCTGTCACTTGTGTGTGGGTGTGTTTGGGGAGCGGGGTTTGTGCACATATAAACCAGCCTGCGAGCTGGGGACGCTCGTCTTGTTCTGAGCTGAAATAAAGAATGAGAGCTGAAATCACTAGTAAGTCTGGCATTTCAGCCACAGAATATCTCCCTTCAGATCCCAAGGACGCTTACGTCAAAATCCAAGTGTTCGGAGACAAATTTCAGCACGTGGATGGTGCTCTTAACAGCTCTTTCCCGCTCGTAGGTCTTCTCTGATTCAATCCAGCCATTCGTATGCTGTGAAGAAAAAACGCATAAGAGGAAGAAGGCATCATTGAGTCTGGCCTGTCAATCCAAGGATACATCACAGAATGCCAGGTTTTTAAAGAAGAAGGTTTGAGTCCCGTGGCACCTTTAAGACCCATGAAGTTTCACTCTGGGTATAAGAAGAGGAGGACTGGATTGATACCCCGCCCTTCACTACTCAAAGGAGTCTCAGAGCGGCTTACAAACTCCTTTCCCTTCCCCTCCCCACAACAGACCCCCTGTGAGGTAGGTGGGGCTGAGAGAGCTCTCCCGAGAACTGCCCTTGAGAGAACAGCTCTGAGAGAACTTGTGACTGACCCAAGGTCACACCAGCAGCTGCATTGGGAGGAGTGGGGAATCAAACCCGGTTCTCCCGGATTAGAGTCCACGCACTTAACCACGACACCAAACTGTATGCAAACAAAAAGCTCATACCCAGAATTAAACCTTCTGGGTCTTCAAAGTGCCACTGGACTTGAACTGTGGGGCAACGTTGTACTTTTTTGGGGGAAATTTCCTTGAATGCTTTGTATTTAATTTAAATTGCAATTATTGTGATTGTCTGATAATCAATTAGCACTATAAATACCAATATACTAGAAGAAGAAAAAACATATTTTTTTAGTTGATCTAAGATTATATTGTTTGTTACACACGGTGCTTTAGTGTTACTATTTTCTACCATTTACACCGTGGTCCTCTTGTTGTCCCTAAAAGAAATCAGTCCTGACTGTTCCCTGGAAGGCCAAATAGTGAAGCTGAAGCTCAAAATACTTTGGTCACCCAATGAGAAGGGAGCACTCCCTGGAGAAGAAGACCTTGATGCTGGGAAAGACTGGAGGTCAAAGAAGAAGGGGACGGCAAAGGATGAGATGGTTAGATAGTGTTATCGAGGCAACGGACATGACGTTGAGCAAACTCCGGAGGATGGCAGAAGACTGGAGGGCCTGGCGTGATGCATTAACAGAAGCCTTGTGTCCAGATCACGGGAGGCGGTAGTTCCGCTCTATTCTGCTATGGTCAGGCCCCACCTGGAGTCCTGTGTCCAGTTTTGGGCACCACATTTTAGGAAGGATGTTGACAAGCTCGAGTGTCCAGAAGAGGGCAACCAGGATGGTGAGAGGGTTGGAATCCAAGTCTTACAAGGAAAGGCTGAAAGAGTTGGGTCTGTTTAGCCTGGGAAAGAGAAGGCTTAGAGGGGACATGATTACAGTCTTCAAGTATTTAAAGGGCTGTCATGTAGAAGATGGAGCAGATCTATTCTCTCTTGCTCCGGATTGCAAGACTAGGTCTAATGAGTGGAAATTACAAGTGAGTCGTTACCGGGTAAATATCAGGAGGAACTTCCTAACTGTAAGAGTGGTTGACTGCAAGAAGATCAAATCAGTCAATCTGTCAGCAAGCTGCCATTCTGTTTTCTGTGACCTCTGTGTACATATCCTTTCCCTGTTGCACCCGGCTTGGTTTCTATCATCCTGCTCCTGCGTTGGAATGCAAAAGATAACTGCTGGAGGTTGTGTGGGGGAGAAGATGCTGTAATGCTTGCATAT